TTTTTGGGATGTTACACAACCTGACCATTGAACATTAATTGAGAGAAAATTCATCAAATCTGATGTCTTTCATCATCACCTGTTACAATTTATTTCAAAACGATCAAGACACCCATCTAAATTATTGCCCATTGCTTCTCCCAATTCTATAGTTTTTTTTTACTTCAATAATAAAACAAATTATTATTAAAAGAAGCTCCTGAAATACTCTGATTGCTGCCATTAAAAGAATAACATTTATTTGCAAAACCCGAGGATGAGTAATCTCATCCTCAAAAACATTAACTCCCAACACTCTACCAAAACCTCTCGAAAAACCCAAATAACTAGTTACAGGATGAGGAATGGAAGATTGATATGAACGTAATTGACCCTCAACATTTTTTTTAACCTGATTCGCATCAAGTTCGCTCGTCTTCATCTAGGGTCACGAAGAAGGGGGATGCATGTTGTCGAATCTTCAACATGAACAAATTCTAGAGTTGCAACTGTCCATCGGTCAGAAAAGGGCAGCTACATTGGAGTTTATGCAGGGGTGGTTGACATGGCTAGTGATATGGGACAATTAAACTGATTGCATTGCTCGTTAAAGTCATTTGGATCCTTGCTATCTTCAGATTTCCTTGGAGAAAAATGATTAGGTTTTTTATTTTCATTTAAGCTTTCTTATGTTTTTCCAATGTGTCATTAATTCCAAATGGGTCCTTAGATACTTCATCATTATCATTTAGAGAACCATTACTTCCTTCTTCATCAAATTGAACATGTCCCTTGTCTTCCCCATCAGTGGATTTCATGAAATCACAAGAAAAAGACGGAGTTTAGTCGGGTCCTTCATTAACCCTAACCGGGAATATGATACCATCGACACTAACCTTCACCACTTGAAAATAATACAAAGATAAGAAGTCAAAACACATACTCGACTTTTATATACATCTTCACCAAGGTTATCATCTAATTATACCACATAACCCCATTGGCCAAAACCTCCCTAAATGCCAACTTACTCCAAGCCCGAAGAGGTAGTCCTTTAATATCAACCCATATAATGCGATCCTGTGGAACAAAATTTCTATCGCATTGTTATATTTCTGTAATTAAGTGACTAACCGCATCACTTGCAAAGTAGTTTTTGCATGCTTCTTTAAAGGTGAATTAAAACATCACCCAAAGGCCCCACGCATATCGAATTTGAAAATCCACAAAACCTTCATCATGACATAACATCCTAAGATTCGATAAGGTAGAAAATCTCTTGCCTTTGCTAGATATGCAAGCTTTTTATTTCTAATAATAAAATCCCCAGAATTAAGAACAATAGCAACATTAACTGGTTCTTTATTCCCCATTGCAACATTATCCAATTCTTTATTCCCTTGTCTTGACCTCTTACTACACTTGCATAAGAAACAATAGGAGATTCAACTTTCTAAAAATTTTAATGGATTTTGTTTGCAGAAGACGTTAAAATTACCCGAAAAATCTGACAAAGCCAAACCTTTTCCCCATTCGAGACTTCTTATTAGAAATAAAAACTTCGACAATCTTACCCAGACAACCACAATCACACCATAAATCAGAAGGTAGAATAGTTTTTGGGAAGTTTGTAATGTAGAAGGATTGACTATCATACCTCAAATGATATTGATCCCGTTTAGATTGAAATCTGTTTCGCTTGTCCACTCCATTAAAATGGAAATCTTTATTCCACACATCATCTGACTTCCATCGAGAATTCTCAGAATTCATGAAACCCATTACGTACAAGAAGAGAATACTCACAGGAAATGTCAACAAGGATGAATCAGAAGACAATCAAATTGATATCAAGGAAAGAACGAATATACCCAAGACCTGCCGGTGTTTGCACTCGTCGGAGAAGAGGGGTCGGAGGGGGGGGATTCCCAACGTTGACACTTAAAATCACCAAAAGGGTTTTATTATATTAGCCAATGTTTTTAACTTAATTAATATACTTCTCCATTGATTTTCCATGTGTGTGTGTGTGTATAATATATATATATATATATATATATATATATGTATATATATATATATATATATATATATCTTCTTATACTAATAAAAGAGTAGTTCTTTTGTCATTTCTCACCATATTAGACCTCTTATGTTGCCAATTGTCAATCTATTAGTTCTTCATTTTAAATTTATTAGACTTCCTCATTAATGTGATGCTATTTGTCAATGTATTTTTTCTCTATATTAAAATTTAAATTTTATATTATTGTTTTCATTAATTCACAAATAAAAAATGTCTAATAAATATTAGAAATTAATTTTACTCATTTATTTAATCAACGATTATAATTTCACATAACTAATAAATATATTTGTTAATTAATAATCTATTTAAAATAATTGATAAATAATTTTGAGTTCACTATAAAAGTTTAATTAATTTTATAACCGTGGTTCCTACGGGTTATAAACTAATATATATTATATATATATATATATATATATATATATATATATATATATATATATATAACATCCCGAATTCCAGGTAAAACTATTAAACCCTTCTATTTTGTCAAATTGCCAAGAATGGTCCCTTGAGAGAAATTTGGAGCAAATGAGTACGATGAGCATACTGGGGAGTACGTTGTGCGTACTAATGCGCTTAATTTGGATGCGGAGTCGCTTGGGTACGCTGAGCGTACCCAGGTTTCCGCTGGGCGTAATGGGTCCAGATGCAAACCCTAAATGCTTGGATTTTGCCCTATTTAAAGGATGCTAAGGCTCATTTCTCAACCTCCATATCAGAGAGTGAAACCCTAAAAGAGAGCGTTCCATCGTCCAAAGCTGAGTGTGTGTGTGTGTGTGTGTGTGTTTTGGAGCTAAAAGTGTGTTGGTGTGTTTGTGAAGAAGAAGGAGAAGAACTTGAGGAGGTCAGGACTTGAAGTGCAAGGTTGGATCTGAGATCTTCAGAGAAAGGAGCTTCATTTAGAGGTATTAAGTTCAAAACTTTCTTCCTTATTTGGTTTGGTGTTGCACGGACCATTTCCGGGGTTAAAAGTCCCAAAGGTGGAGACTTTATGAATGTAATGTGCTCTATGGACCTAGATCTATCCCATTTCAGTAGTATTTGAGTTATAGATCCATAAAGTTTCCATCTTGGTTGTTGATATGAGCTCATGCTTGAGTTATGAGCTCCTTAGGGTTGGGAAATGGAATATTTTGGGTAATAGTGACTTATCCAACCATGCAAAGGCTTAAAGTCACCAACTTTATGGTTTAAGAGGTTTAGAGGTGGTCAGATCTAGAAATTGGACATAGGTCTTAACTGTTTAAGACCCCAAAAGCTTCGGGTCTGGAACTGGGTGTTACGCGGGGCGTAATCCCAGTACGAGCAGTGTAAGGCATCGCGCACCCCATTTTTGTGGAAACACCGGGTACACCTAGCGTACGCGTTCGGTACGCGCAGTGTAACCTGGAGAGTTGACTTTTGTTGACTTTTAGGGTTTTGGATAACTTTTGGGTCTTTAAGCCATGAGGGGGGTAAAATGGTCTTTTACCCTTCTGAGAGTACTAAGAGAGGGAATAATCTAGCCTTGAGAGATATATTAATTTAGAGTGTTTATTTCATATGATTAGGCGGAGGCTAGATCAGATTTTACAAATTTCAAGATTTTCCGAGTTACCCGAGGTGAGTCTTCTCATTATACTTTTCCTAGAGTGGTACTTAGAGTTATGTGATAATGTATTTTGTATGTTATTTATTGATGTGATACACTGCATGATTTCTATGTGATTTATGTTATGTATGTTTCAAAGTTTACAGAGTTAGAACCAAAAGGTTCACAGAGTTAGGACTAGAGGGTCCACAGAGTTAGGACCTGAGGGTCCACAGAGTTATAGCTGTTGGATTAATGTCTAAGTCCATAACTATAATTGGTAAGACTTGACCCGACCCGGCATGGTCCATTTGGGTTGCATGGCATCATGCACTTGGATAGACTAAATGAGAGAAATAACACTTAAGGTTTTTAATATATTATAAGTTCTAATATATTAATAAGGTTATTTAATTAGTATTGATCAAGAATTAATTTGGAATTAATTAAGTGATCAAAAGAAGACTAATTAAATATATGGGTTGATTGTGTAAATCATTCATTCTTATATATGTGGGCTTGTGATCCAAGATTCCTTATGTTGGACTAAGTCCATGGGGTGACCCATGGATACTCCATGGAGGTTAAAATCCATGGAGCATAAGGAATGGGTAAAGTCATGAGTTACATGGTGTAACCCTAATAGCCACCATATAAAAGAAACCCATGGCTCAAGAAATCGTGACTAACACTATGTATGTGTATGAGGGCTAGACGATTTCATGAAGTGTTCTAATTTCTCTCTAAGTTATTCCAAGTGCTTATGGTGTTGTGTGAACCATTTGAGGTGTCACACTTGGGGCACTAGGCACTCAAGCTTCATGAAGACAAGCACTATCAAAGAGGTATGTATTCTATCTTGTTATATCCATTATTTTGTATGCTAGATTAGGATAATACCTTGGATGTTCATATTTGCATGTATAATAGAGAAAACATAGATCCAAGGTATTTAGGGTTGCATGTACACTTAGGAGTGTTAGAATGCTCATAACCCAACAGTGGTATCAGAGCCTAGGCTTGTTTTCTTGTTATACCTGCAATAGAAGCTGAAAAATCGAGTTTTGATGCTGTCAGCCCAGCTGACTCGCCGAGTCCATGAAGGGACTCGACGAGTCCAAGGCAAAATGCATCCAACTCGCCGAGTTGTGTTCATGCACTCGACGAGTTGGACCCCAGACAGCATATCTTCGAGGTTTTTGGCTAGAAATGGACTAGGAACATTACCCTAAGTTGTTTTGAACTTATAAACTTGTTTTTAATGTGGTAATGTTCATGCTAATCCATTTTCAAAGATAATTGTCAATAGATTCATGTTTTGTATTAGTTTAAAGGTTAGACTAATTACATGAAAAAGTTTGATTTGAATTATCTTGTTCTTATGAGTTGCTTAGATTAATAGAAAAGTTGAGTGAAAAAGTTGTTTTCAATCCAAATTAATCTAAGAGTTGAGTATAAAATGTGTTTGTGTAACTTATCCTTAAGTTACATGAAGAGTCACATTAAAGACTCATAAAACTCATAAAGTTGGCAAAGGTTACAAAAGATGAAGAGTCTTGTCCTTAAGTTATGGAGGTTCAAGAGTCACTTCATTAATAAATAAATAAATAAAATATGTAACCTTAATTAATTCCATAAGTTATAAAATAAAGAAAAGATTAATTCTTTATTAGTTTAAAGTCTTCCATAATTTGTCCACAAGTTATGGAACTTGAAGAGTTTTTGGATTAAAACTACTTTAAATACATAAGTTATGGAATTAATTAGTTTTGAATAGTTTCAAAACTTGCCCTCAAGTTTTGGAATTTGTAAAGTTTTCTCTTATGAATACTTTAATTCCAAGTTAGCCCTTAGAATTTTAAAAGTTAAAATTCAACCCTTATACTTTATAATATTATAAGTTAATAATATTTATATGTATAAGAGTAAAGTCGGTCTTACCGCTAGTACGCCTCATTCACGAAGCCGGTCTATAAGGTGGGTATAAGGTTGTTGCCTATAAAATGGCAACTTAATGGGTGTCCACTCTCACCCACCGCTTGCTTGACTGGTGGAGGGTCGTTAGCCGAACGGGTTTGACATGACTATAATTCTCCCTTCATTAAAAGTATTAATGATAAATACTAAGTAACTAAACTTTAATAATACCCAATCTTAGTTACTTAGGAAAATGTGAATAAGGTGCTAATCCATGAAATTACACTTTGCACTTTGTTTAAGTCGGTTAGTGGAGCGTGTGTGGTTAACCGGCACACTAACTCGTATTTAACAAGGTAGGCAAAGGGTAACTTAATGTTTATCATAGTATCGATGGAGCGTGTGTGGTTAACCGGCACATCGATTGAGGGATAAACACTTAAGGGTACCAAGTAATTTGCATGGTTACTTCACACCTTGTTTTGTGATCCTCGGCATCCCAGTCACAAAACCTGAAGGGCACACTCGAGATTGAAACATGCCATTGAACAGTTCAATGAATCTCAAAAGATCTAGGAGTTTCAAAACCAATTAAAACCTAATAATACATTTCGTTTATCTTGGTGGAAATTGGTGAATCGTCATTCACCTACCTTCAAATTGTTTTATAGCTTGGATTACGGCATACCTCTTCTAAGTTATAAAATAGTTTGTTGGGTCCTAGCCTTAATATTTCATATTGGGTGTCATATTAAGGACTCAAAGATCAACTATCTTGAATATCTCCCAAACATGTCTGGTTTAGACATTTATGATCTTCCCAAATCTCTTGAAACAAGCTTTCCTAATGAAGATGATGTCCCATGGATATCATACTTCTTTCTCCTCCTCCAATTATTCTCCCTACCCACAAGTTCTTAAAAGTTTAAGGTCACTCAAGCCCTATTGGCAAGGCAAGGTCTAGGTGTGATCACATCTTGGAGATGTAGTCACATATTGACAAGCCGGGAGAGTTGGGTGTCAAAGTCTTGAGAAAGTTGGTGGTTCAATCACTTTCTAAGTCACATAGTGAGTTCCTTTGGGACACCTATGAAACAGACTATGACAAGACCCTTAATGATCTTATCTATTTGTTAAGATCAACTTCCTGAAACTTTATGGACATTGACAATGGTGACACTGGAAATACAGAAA